CGTGATTTTAAGCGTAAACTTAGAGCCAAATTACTCGCTGCTTTCCTTTCTCATTGCTCTTAGTTGTAACTTTGGCGAACATTTATTAACATTTTAGCTTCCTTAATTTTTCTATTATACTTTTTAGTATTGTAATTTTGTAATTTTTAGATTATTTTCACCGGAAAAACCCTCTTTAGGGAGTGTGAATAAAGTTTGTATTGTATTGTATTGTATACTGTCAAAAAAAACTTGTCAGGCAAATTTAGGCTTTTATGAAGATTTTTGTTTGTTTTTCACTCACCTCTACCGTAACAAACATTGTTTGTCAAGACACTGTAATGAAACTTGGTGGTTGAATTTATTTTGTTCGCACATGCCCCCTATTACCCAGCTGCAGTTGATAAACTACACTTATTGCAAACTTTAAAAGAATTGTCACACGATCTTTATTGAGTGGTACAAAAGATATCAACATCTTTGCTGAAAGCCACTGATTCGAAAGCTCACATGATGCTACATGAACACAAACTTTTCAACCCTTTCACTTCCAAGATCTCACCAGTAATTCTCCTTACTGTCTGCCATACAAAGCTTATGATGTCACTTCTGAGAATTTGGTATTAGATGAACTCATAATCTCTAATTTGATATTTTTTCATCATAATTCCAATGTTTTGATCTGCTTGATATTGTATTGACATTGTAAGATTGTAAGGAGAAATTCTGTCTTGGTCGCTCATGAGAGCCACAGAGGATTATGGGACATGACACTGGCCTTTTAACTCTTTAACTCTCAAGATCTGATTATCAATTCTCTCTTCTAGCTGCTACACATCTCCTTGTGAATAAGTTATGAGAATTTGGTGTTAGATCAAGAACAACTTCTGCCTGACAAGTTTGAGTATTCTTGTTACCTGTTTGCTGGATACTGTAGGGATATTATGAGGAGAATTTATTTGTCAATCACTTCTGGGAGTCAAGGGTTGATGCATGTGAATGTCCCTTGGCCGGGGACATTGTGTTGTGTTCTTGGGCAACACACTTTACTCTTCACCCAGGAGAATTAAATGGGTACCAGTGAATTTAAAGCTAGGGGTAACCCCACAATGGACTAGCATTCCATCCAGGGGGGAGTAGAAATACTCCTAGTTGCTTCACACAACAGAAACCAGAGTTAAGTGCCAGCCCCATAGGTCAATTAGCCCGTAAGCCAGCTTTGCTTACTGTTTGCCTTACATGCAAATTACCTATGCCAGTAGAGGTATTGGTTTTTGTAGCAGGGGAGAGCAACTCAACAACAGCTGTTATTTTCAAAGTTAAGCTGAAGGCTGAGGAATTAATTGGCATGAATAATTCATTTAGTTACACTGCAAGGTATGGTGAGCTAGTGAGTCATCTCTGCAAGACTCTGAAAAACTTGATACTCA